TGGTTCACAAAACCTTGACAGCGTTTGAACTCTTTAGCAAAACAACGACCGATACTCATTGGAAAACTCTCCGCTTAAAGACACTGTTCACAAAAAGTGGTTTTGGAGATTTGCACATGGTTTGAATTCGAAGCCCCCTCTGATACCGTTTGTGCAGGAATGAGGTCGGAAAACGGCTCGATAGGGCACAATAAGGGCAGGAACAGTGGGGGACGGGAGGCCTCCCCCTCGCTAGGCTGACTACGAGTTCTAATTGTCCTTCACCACTTTCGCATTGGAGCGAAGTTGGTGAAAAGTCGATAAGCTGGTTGGCAAATTGCTAGAGACGCAATGTGTNCCTTAACCGCCGTTCTTTCAATGTGAAACTCGTCCAACCCCCCTTTCCAGCTCTTTTTTTGACCCTTTGTAATTCTTTTTGTTCATCGTTTTTTGCGCTTTTTTCGTTGTTATCGCTTTATTCCAGAGTAGTTCTATCAATTCCCGCCAAAAAAGGGTACCCTAACTTTTTTGTGAACGGTGCCTTTACACGGTTCACGATAAAAATGGTTACTGAGTCTTTTCCTTAGGAATACTCAGTGGCCCCAAGGTGATAGAAAGGACCCTCTCGAGCCCGAAAACTCGACGATTAGGGCACTGTGGAAGCCCTGTTCCCGGCTCGCGCGGCTTTCCCGCCCTTCGATCGATGTCGCCTCAGACGAATGTCGATGCGATACAGATTGCAATTATACGTTCTAGGACCCACACACAATCAGATAGTTGAAGAGTGATAATGCGATGTTTTTCTCTCATTCTTTTTTCCTCTGTTACTCTTTTTGCTGCCGCGATCCCTCAATTAATTTCCCACCTCGAGAGGGTGAAAAGTTGAGCTTTTTTTTGCTGTAACTAGGGTTTTTTGTTCACTTATGCTTATAAGTGAATGAATTTTTGCTCACCGTAGTCAGTTATTTGCAGCAGGACCCACACGTACGCAATGATACACATTGTATAGGTCGTCCAAACGCCCCACTCATCTTCATGCTTCTGGTCTCATTCTCGTCCATCCCCCTTTTTGACGATCTTTCGAAGAGGTAGAGGCTCCGACTCATGCAGTTCCTTCTCCTTCATCGCACCACTTTCCATCTCATCTTCCATTTTTCGTCATAATCTGGGTTACCCAAAATTATCGTGAACTGTGCCTTTGATGAAATATGTACTCACTATGCTTCACCGTTGAAACAGAGAATCAACTGTCGCCACGGGCGACTGTCAGTGGCGAATGAGACTTTTTAATGTTTCCCTTAAATTTATTTTAAAGGAAACCACTTTGTGATGCTACTGATCATGAATCATAGCTCGCATTGTGGTATGGTAAAATGTCAATGATTATGGACGGACTTCCATTCCTGCTGTTCATTTTGGGATTCCTCTGCAGAATCCAGAATACCTTTAATGCCTTTCTCCCTGAAATTTCCGTCTCCTGCGCTAATATCGTGCATTTCACTTCAAACTTTTCGCCGTTGTGTTCCTCAACTTGATGTCGACCGGGCGCTGTCATAAGGTTTCCGCCCTTATGCTAGCTACATGTTCTTTTATCCGTAAGTTGATCCACATGCTCAACATTCTAGCTAGTAGATCACGCCTATCAGTGCGCAATCACCTCAAACGGCAGAAGAATTTCAATATTCAATAATGGTATTAATTAGCGCTGCAAAGCACACTGATTCAGTGACCAGACTCACTCCTTTCTGTGGAAAGGAACGGGAAATATCGGAAGACATTAATTTCATGTGTGAGATACCATTAACGACCTTTCGTTCGAAGATCCTTCATGGTGGCAGCGACATCGGTGACTCCAGCTCATCTCAAGGTGGGACAACTTAATTTTTTATTTTCACGGAACAAAAATTCGGAAGAAAATGACGTCAAACTTCGAAAAATCGCCTTTTAGGAGTAGGTTATGGAGTACAGAGGGCCTTTTATGTTTCTGAAAACTAGGAAATCCGCACAGTTCCATGAATGAGCGAATTCCGCTGTGCTACTAACGTGCACTTCCCATGGAATTAGGAAGGGACCAGCGAAAGCGTGACGCTCAAGTTAATCCGTCTTGATATCTTTACAAAACTTCTTCTCATCACTTGAACAGAAACGATCATGATGATGAGTAGAATGAGACTTTCTTAACGGATTCTCAGCATTGTGAGAAACACTTCTGCCCTTAACGCTTTGGATTTAGATATTATGTGTGGTCAGTAAGTTCTTGCCAGTTATTAAATCACCATTTGCCAAATAAAGCCGTAAGCCCACCATTACAAGCGCAAACCTACTTTTCAAGGTTGAACCAAATTGGATACAGAAAAAACCTCCATGAGATGAGTGAGTCTAATCCGTTTTATCCGAAGTACAGTGAGTAGTTCAGGGCTTTGTGATCCCCCACCAATACACGGGACGTTGACGAATTCATTGGCAGGACATTGCACTTGAAAAACTGTTCCCGATGTTTTGAGAGCATACGAGAGCTGCAGACTTTCAATAAGAGGTTCGGTCTATAAGCGTTCAGCTCTCGTTTTGTAAAGGGTTCGCGGTGCACTAGCCCCTTTTTGGGTTTCCGTCTCGGATCCCCTTTTTAGATGTCTAGGGACAAGGTCCCTTCCTTATGGCTCGGTAGAGAATAGTGGCTCACACTTTATTCTTCTTCGGTAAGTAGCAGCACCGTAGTGGGCGATTGATCAGCAGAATCCTCTGACGAAAAAGATAGATCCAAAAAGTCATTCTAGGAGATGTGACCGGTATTTATATCTGTGGCCCTGGGAAAGTGGAGATTACAAAGATAGGCCGAATACAAGAGAGTAAGATATCCATATAAACACAGATGAAGAGAAGTCTCTGGCCGGCAGCTTCGCGCGCGGGAAATCTATTTTGGTAGTTGCGGAATTTGAGTTGTGGGAAACAAGAGTTAATAGGCAAACAGATAGTATAACAAAGCGAATAATGATACACAACAATAGAAGTATGTTTACATCTTTACATTGTGGTTACATTCTATTCTATTACAGTTTTATGAAGAGGCGGAACAAATTCATACATTAAAGACCCACCAACTTTGTTTCCACTAGAAGATCCTAGTGCTTTCCTCGAAGCTACTGCCGGCTGACGGTTAGAATACCATCACACGTGGCTGTGTGACTATAACAACAGGAGTAGGACTTGAAAAATAGTATGGGAACTTTGCTATTTCAGCAACTTGGCTGTAGAGTCCTCGCTCGAGCGCCAGGTGATGGAGCCGTACAGTTATTTCACCCCCGCCTTAAAAGCCCGTGTCCTTGCCCATCTCTTTTTCAATGTAAAGAGTGATTTTCCTAATAAATTTTCTTTCCTGTTGTAGCGATCGGCTGGACGTGGTGGTGTGCGGTTGAATGGTGTGGTGTGGAATATGTTGGCAGTCCGTACAGAATATAGTTGAATATAGTGCGATTATAGTGTGAGAGCTTAGAACTTCCTCTTCTTCGGAAGAGAAGCAGCTCCTGCCGGGCACAACAGGGGGTTGTGAGGCTGGCGGCATATCCCGCATCTGACCTCACACGCTGTTTCGTGCGCAGGCTTAAGCCACTGCACCTGGAAAATGCGTGGATAAGCACTGCGTTCGTCTCGGGTTCGATTCCCGGCCGATGCACCAAAATTTGTGGCGGAACCACAGGGAGTGTATCTCCCTATTCGAAAAAGTGGTTCAGTGGTGTAATATTTGTTGAATAGAATAATGGTGAGTCGACAAATAGGAGTTCGAGGGCGACCGCCACTTGTAAGCTCCTCTATAAGCAGACTGCTTTTGACAAAAAGGGGGGTCGCGCCTCAGCTCCAACCACCACACATCTGGGTGGTCGGACACAAGTAATATCTTTCAACAAAGAGGTTGCGGGGTCGCGGTAATGCGCGATATTCCCCATGCCAACAAAACAATTAACAACAATCAGTAAACATGTAATTGGAAATTTTCCTAGTGTCGATGCGGTGCGCTGTTGATCGGCTGGTTGCAGTGAATCGTGGTTGAACGATCGGCTGGACGTGGTGGTATACGGTTGAGCGATCGGCTGGACGTGGTGGTGTGCGGTTGAGTGGTGTGGTGTGGAATATGTTGGTAGTCCGTGCAGAATGTAGTTGAATATAGTGCGAATATAGTGTGAGAGCTTAGAACTTCCTCTTCTTCGGAAGAGAAGCAGCTCTTGCCGGCCAACAGGGGGTTGTGAGGCTTGCGGCATATCCCGCATCTGNCCTCACACGCTGTTTCGTGCGCAGGCTTAAGGCACTGCCCGCAAAGTCTCATTTTTGAGACCTGGAAAATGCGTGGATAAGCACTGCGTTCGTCCCGGGTTCGATTCCCGGCCGATGCACCAAAATTTGTGGCGGAACCACAGGGAGTGTATCTCCCTATAAAAACAGTAGTTCAGTGGTGTAATATTTATTGAATAGAACAATGGTGAGACGACAAATAGGAGTTCGAGGGCGACCGCCACTCGTAAGCTCCTCTATAAGCAGACTAACAAAAAGGCGGGCCGCGCCTCAGCTCAGACCACCACAACACATCTGGGGGGTCGGACATAAAAAAATATCTTTCAACGAAGAGGTTGCGGGGTCGCGGTAATGCGCGACAGTAGTAAGTCGCCTACTTGCAGCAGTAGCTGTAGCTATGAAGGTTGACAGAGCGGGATTGAAACGGCATCGGGCTTATTGTTTTCATTATTCTAGACAGGGAAAAGGATCAGTCAGTGGAAAGAATTTCGACTATTTGGAGGATTGTCAGTTAATAAGGGCGAGGCCACAGAAACGACTGCGCACCTTATATTACATTTGAATATCGGGGCGCGGGAAAATGATTCAAAAGCAAACTTTCAATTGGGTGAACTCGACCTCTATGCCGGAGCTCATAATGGTGGACTTGTCGTCATATCGTGCCTTCTACGAACTTCTAAGGAAGCACCTTTTGTACGTATAATATTTAGTACTTCTATCTAGAGTAAGAGTTCCGGATGACGTCTGATATTGTTGGCACCGCTGGACGAGCTGTTATTCCAGGAGATTCCCTCTACAGTACGAAGTTAGTTCCAATTTCTGAATATTATTCATTTCGTCTTAGAATTTCTTGTGAGTTGGCTAAGTTGTTAAGACCAAGCAAGAGATTCCCATTCAACTTCCTTTTAGTATCCACAGATTGTCATAGAAGCGTAAACTTATATTACGGTTTAATGTTTCTCAGTTTGAGATTCTCAAAAATCTACTTTCTTTCTAACCTTTTTCTCGGTCGCCCCTTATGCTTATGCCCCCTAGATTCCTCAAATGCTGGTACCCGAAAAGTATTGTAGATGTAAGGATCGATGGTAAACAGTTGAGTTTAGCAGTTTTTGGAAGTAAAAGTACTCTTCAGTTGTTTAGGCACGTGTTAAGCTATTTCATCAAATACTTTCTGGAAACTGTCTTTCGAAACCTGCAAAGAAACTGACTTTCTAGAGAAGGTTATCAATGTGGACGTGGAGTTTATGAATTGCGTGGATACATTCGAGCCGCACGTGTCGGATACGTCTTCCTTACCGAGGAGGTGGACGCAAGTGTAAGTCGCATATGTAATTAGATTCGTGCTGGCGATTCAGTTATTTTGTTTCTGTCTGACTTATGACAGGAACTTCCTTTACACTGTGATAGCACGTCAATAACACGAAGCTTATTGGTTTGAAAATAGCTTTTTGTGTCAATGGGTATTTAATGGTTAGGGTAGGATCTCAGTCATGCTAGCCAGTTTTTTTTCGTTAGCTTTACGTGTACGACGGATTCGAAGAACTGATAGGTGTATCGGATTATGGAGTACGGAGTCATCGTTATATTTCCAGGGTAACAAAACAGCAAAAGTTGTCGAAGTTTTGAATCACGATGGCTCGTTTACGTATCAGGTTCCATTCATTGGGGCTGTAGTTACAGCAAAAGTTGTGGAAATTAGCGACAAGTAAGTTTTCGCTATTTATTTCTCAGAATTGTTGTGATGTGAGAATTTGAGGAATGCAAAGTGTGCAGTGCTTCGCATAGAGGACACAAATTTGCCGGAAGGAATTTCGTTCAGTGCCCTTATTCGAAAGGAAGATATGCGAACAGATGTGAAACTGGACGTGAGTTTTAATGAGAGACAAGCTAGATTTTTTCACTCGTTTCGAACTTCTTTTTACACTAAGGAAAGAGAGGAACTAGATTTATTAGCTTCTCGTATCTTGAATGGCTCGCTTATACGCCTTCCATGACGCAACGGTACCTCGCGTTTCTAACGCTACGCTCGCCCGCCATCTTCGAATCATGTCTGTCTGCTTTCTACAGACCACGCTGCTGTGCAGTCCATCCAAAGGTGTGGATGATTTAGTGCTAGGTGTTGCCCTGTCTGCACATAGTCACAATCAACGTTAGCTTTCTTTCACATTTTTTCGTACCGTCTAGATGTAAGTGCTAGCGAATTGTAGTCATAATTCTTTCTAAGAAATCTTGGTGAGCGTCCTTCATCGAAGCCTTGATAATGTGAATGTGAATGCCGGTTTTCTGCCCACTGCAGAAACAGCTTACGAAGAACTTGCTGTCTTAGAGATGATTGGGCCTGAAATTCTAGAGGTCACAGAGCATCATGCGTTGAATAGTCTTGTGTATAACTCTAGTCCTTACGGCAAACTGCTTCTATTTGAACATTAGTCTATCTTGTGTTCCATGAATTAACAACTTACAATTAGCCCCATCTAGATTCCAAGTGAACCGCTCAAATTTTTGCGGTGCCATTGGACTCGGAAAACACCTAGTCGATACGGTCAGATCTCATTCAATCCATAAAATGCGCTGCGCATTCAACACCATTCTTCAAATTATCACCATTCTTCAAATTAGCGCTCTCATCCTAAACGCTTCGTATTCATTCTTATCACCTCTAGCGGAACCTTTCAATTGAATACCTCTTTCAGCAGTTCAAAGTGCGAGATTGCATGCTCCCTGGAGACTACGTGATTGCAAGCGTCATTTCAACTGGAGATTCGTACTATTTACTATCGACCGCCGAGAGCAGATTAGGAGTTGTAGCAGTCAAAAGTCCCAACAAGAATGTGTGGCTACCGCCCAACTGTAGCGAAGTGCAGAATTTAGGACCACGTAAGATAGCTCTCATACCGAACACCTTACCTAAGTCTTCGGACATTTTGCAAACGGTTAATGACACTCGAAATCAATAAGGGCGTATTCTTTGTTAATGTGCACAAGTTTTAAGAGAGTTATATCTTGGTAAGAACATAGTTGTAAAACTGAGCTGTTTTTTTATTTATGTTTCAATTATGCAATGACTTCATAATACAAGCATCACAGTCCTTTTAGGTACTGATTATGTTGTATTGCTGATGTGGACTTGTACCCACGAATAAACGAAGCTTCAAGTGAATTGGTTTTGAGTGAGCCTCGAACTCTGCTCGTTGCTTACTTGAAGTGTCGGCAGTGACGTTGTTGATGTTCAATCTGTAATAAACAAACGTGAGCATAGTACACGTTCGACAGTGTTCACTAGTCGTCGCTCTCGATTGCCCTGAGGGTGAGCGTCAAGACAGTTCATCGCCAGTTGTGCACGAGTCACAGATGAGATTCTCAGCATAAGTGCAGCTACCAAAGGAGCGAGCTGCGGAAAGACCTTGAAATGAAAAAAAGTAACACTAGAAGATTTGGTATCAATGATTGTAGGAACTCACTGGCACGATATGTCCTAGAGATGGTGTTATGGCTGTGAAGAGGGCATGATTTCCCGGCATTTGAGTGGACTTTAGCAAAGTGTTTAGGATGTCGATGACCAAGTTCAATGAAGCAGCTGATTCTGGCAGGCGATACTAAAACTATCCGCGATAAGGGTAATGTGACATATGAACAGTACCCTCATGATAAATAAGCGTTAAATCCAGTCGCAAAGTTCATATTTATAATGCCATTGTGTTTTGAGTAGAACTTCCTTTGATAAACTCACTTTTCGGCCAACTTCTGCCATAAGACACACTGCAAAGATACGCCTCTTCATGTCGGGTAAGGAGAGCATCTCTTGTATATATTCTGCTGCAACGAACATGGACGGTATGTTTTCGACAAGCGGACGAATCATATCAATCGGCCATGTCTGTAATGTTATTTGTACTGCGACAGCTCGAGGGACAGTTCACTTTTTTAAGAGTAAAAACAGCACACGCATATCGCCTCTGGATTACTTCCCAGTCATATGCAACTTTTGGTAGGGTCATGTGCCGAATACCAGTCGCATCCATGATGCTCCACACACGCATACAGAACAAACAGCGGAGCAGGAATACGTGTGAAGAAGACGTCTGGCAATGTAATTGGTTCTGATCATTTGGCAGCCGACGTATGAAGATCACGGTGCTGGAATCCGGCAGCAAGATTGACGAAGCCCTAGAAGATCATCGCAGAAAAGAATGTGCCTAGGCATTGGCAACAGAATACCATCATCCGAACTTGGAAGAAGAGCAGACCTACAGATTGCATGAGCTACAGTGCAGTTCGCCTGCTCTCGCACTGCTTAAAGAGATTTTAACGCGTGGACAGCTGTTCGAAAACTCGTCCAACTCTCTGCCAAACAGTAGTGTTATCTCCAGTTGCAGTAACATCGGTGCAGTACACATAGCTCAGTTCTTGATGAATAACACACTAAGATGGAAAGCAGCGCATCTTTTCAAAGTTTGAAAAAGCTTTCGATCGCAACGAGTTGTATGGTAAGCCTCATGAGAGCAAAGCATATCACAGAATTCTACGCAAATGTTTGTTCGCATTTTCTCATCTCCGTCGGGGTACAGCAAAGCTCTGCGCTTTCCCATCACTGTTCGTTGTCGTCCTGGACACAAGATCTTCAGAAGCTAGATTCGTGGACGCTTTTTATGCCAACGAAGTAGTGTGCTTGCTTGCGAAAAGAAGAAGATACCCGAACAACTTGCGGCCTACTCTAGCTGGCGCTCAATGAATGTCGTTTTCCGCGACAAGAAAACACCAGAATCAAAGATCTACAAGACCTGTCGCGATTTACGGTGCTGAGTGCTAGCCTGCAACCAGAAATCCTGAAATACCCTCGAGCTGACAGAAACAAAAACGCTGTTATGGACGGTCGGAGTCACAAGTTTGGATCGTACTTGAAACAATGCAATGAGAGAGCATAGCCCTTACTGGTATTAAAATTCGCGAAGCTTCGCCTTCAACTTGGTGCCGTCATGTTCTACGCGCTGCCAAAAACAGTTTCTGTAAGATCCGGCTCAACCTTTGGAGTACTTGAAAGAGAAGTCCGAAGTAGACTTTCTTGATACTTCAAGCGAAGTCTAAAAATTAGTTGACCTTCATTCCGGCCAAGCGGTCAATCGAGGAAAGTGGCACTAATACACCAGAACAGCGAACCCTAATCTGAAGTCGACACAGTTACGGGATATGCCGATGGAACGATATAAACATTTAGCAGCTAGCAAATTTTCGGAATCTATCTGCAACGTTTTACACTAGACGAGCAGAGAAAGTATTGGTCGCTGAAGCCTCGAAACCTTGGCAGGAAATAAGGCCCTCCCCTCAAAACTGAATGAAAATACCTTACTCGAAGTCTCACTTCGTGTTCTAAGGTGATAAAATATTAGGTTGGCAAATAAGTCCTGCGACAAGATGGAGACCTTTTTTAAGTCATTTCTAAATTTTTTCATATCAATCAATTTTCGGGGAGATTTTTGCCGAAGAAGACAACAGCCTTCTTTTATTCTTTGAGCCAATCACTGACGCCATCTCTTCAGGAATGAGGGAGCTGTGACCCAAAGAAGTAATTGACTGCCGTTTTTGGGTCACATTAAGTTACGAATTTCTTTTCCACAACGGGATGCTCAAAAAGGCGGAGCACATTGTAGGTAAAAGGGGGAACACTCCGCGAGTACGACTGGTGAGTAACATGGAACCAAGCGAGATCGGTGAACTTTTGACGTGGGTCTAAAGCGAATTTTCGATTTGCGTTGTCCCTCTGTAGGGATCTGATTTACGGTTTGATCGTCCTTCTCTAACCCTGTTGGCCAAATGAAGGGGATCATAGGGGTAAGCGATAGCTGTGTTCATCTAGTATGTGTTTATCAACTCAGAGTAGATGGATTCCTTCAACCTCCATTAAATTAAGGGACGATGCTTGCGCTACTCCGAAAGCTAGTATCTCCCGCAGTGAAGCGATCCAACCGATTGTTGACCGTCGATCGGCTAGCAGTGCTAGCATTGAATAGATTGCTGATATTTCGAGCCGCTGCACTCACGTTTTTTCCTTGGCGTGCTTAGGAGAAGGTGATTTTACAAATCGGGTGTTGTCCATTTATTGACCGTAATGCTGCGAAAGCCCACAGGCGTGCCCTTATTTACTCATGTGTTGATTGCCTAAGGGATGTCCTACAAGTCCATCACCCTCGCTACCGTGTTCACACTGTTGATACAAATTTTCAACGCTTCAAATTTTTTGTCGCGGACTCATTTGCCAACCTAATATTTATTGAACAGAAAACCCCGCAAGTTTTAAGTCATTCAACTGGCTTAGTATGTTGTCGGTCAGCATTGACCGACAACGCCACATGTACGTCTTGCCCTTTCATTTAAAAGTGAAAAGCAAAAACCGGATTCCGTATACCACCAGCCTAACTAAGGAAAACATGTTTGTCTTCTGCAAGAGCAGTGAAGACGCCTTTCGAAAGTAGCAGAAGGTTTAAAAAGCAACGTACCTGGAAAAGGACGAGTTTCATTAGATTTTTGTCCTGAATAAACATCTGATGGATAAACTCGCATGCCAGCTTCCTGACCTCGCATCGACGTGCAATCGCACTGCTGTTTCGTAGATCTAAATCAAAGAAAAAGAAATCTACTCTGCGAAATTCGTGTCTGCGCTTATTTTAAAGATTAAAGATCACAATTTTCTTACCATCGTTCATCCTCCTCGCGTCACTGATTTCAATCAAGGTTTGCACCAGAATGGACGTTTGAGAATGATCAAACGCATGGGCGAGGACGTCTCGTGAAGCACGATCATCCTCACTGTAAAAGCCACTCGCTTAGATTAGCTTTTGCTTTCGAAGATTTATAGTTTTGTTTTGCCTTGGTCTCAAGTTTGTTCCGACACATCCGCGGCAGAGGATCAAGCTTTACGCTGCATGAATCGCTGGCATGCTGCCATGACCGTGTGGCAGCTATTTGAATAATTTTTCAGAAGAAGGATATGCAGCTGCCGCAAACTGGTGCGCCTCACGCTGCTGGTTCCACTACTGCTGTTACCTTCACCGTTCACCAGTGAATTTTTCTGCTAACCACTACATCACCTCCACCTTTAATGATGCAGGTTCAAAGGCAATCATGATGATGTTGAGGTACCCCTTTTTATTCGAATAGCGGAAGTATAGTTTGGGAGTAGTTAAATGGTAGTGAAGAAAGCGAGAAAATTCGCCAATTTCGAGAAAAATATGCGTTTTTTAAAGTAAGGGAAATAAAGGTTGGATGAGATTACCATGTCGGAAATAACATAGGAGTATTTGGACGAGCTTTCATTTGTTGCGATTACGCAGAGAACCGACTACATCAAGCCAGAACTGTACAGAACTGCCTTTCACTGTCGCTATGGGTCATGACAAGTTGCTTGAGCCTCCTTCGTGGGTTCCCTTTTGAATGGTGCAGCCTCTTTCTAAGGAAATCTCAGAAACTATTTGTATCGTGAACTGTGCCTTCATATTCACTGTTTGCTTTTTCTAGAAAGCCCTTCGACAAGTAAAGGTACAGATATATTGGAAGAAATTTTGAAATGGTAAGATATTGTCCTCACTTCGCTGCTGATGAATTCTGCACCTGTGACATTAGATGTACACGACAGGCATGGTCATAAAATGAAACCATTCTTAGAAAGCAACTGAAGTGCGCTGGTGATGAAAAGATGCGCCTGAAGAGCAGTTACACATTAAAGTAAATTTAATTTTTCAAAACAAATTAGGACCTGTCACATCTAAACAACAGACATGGATGTCGATAGCACTGACTAGGAGAGATTGAAGGTGCCCACTCTAACGTACAACTCTGTAATAGATTCTATTATACCGGCAAAGGGAACGTTATCACTTCTCGACATACCTCATAGAGCATCCGCGGAACAACGTTCTCGAGTCTACTCCATATACCGACTATCACTTCTACATAAGATCGAGGAATGGAATCCAAGGAGTACAAAAAGGCTCGAGCCAGACTAGGGATGAAACGAACCTAGAATTCTTAAGCTGCAGAAAATATTGAGCATGATCACGCTTTCTTTCGCCTCAGTGGTCAAATTGCAGCGAAAAAATTTGGAACAGTACAAAATCTAAAGGGTTCACTATGCACCTGCACACTTGTCAATTCTTGTACTTAACCTAATATGTTCACTATGCCACAAAGGAACTGAGAATGCCTCAAAAATAGTCAGATTTCCAAATTCGGTCTCAAGTTAACAAAATAATGACCCGTTGTTGATTTTATACAGTCCTACTAATCGAAAAGTAGGATTAAGAGCCCGAATATGGAGCGATAGTTTTTGTGAGAATCATAGTCATTATTATGAGAGTTCCCAGGTTGACAGTGAATAGCAGATCGTACAACTGAATGGATTTAATGTAGGGAAGAAGATTAACGGTAGCTATGATTGCTGCTGTGGTTACTTGTAACGAAAGCATACGAAAGAGAAGGAGCGATTCTGTAAGAGGCTATTTAGGGCTTAGAAGAGGAGGTAACTTCACCTTCTAGCCTGAAGTACTACTTTAGTAGAGCTCATTTGCTTCACGCCGAACTTCAACCTTATTTCTATTCCTGTTCTCTAATCATAATTCTGTCCTGCCTTTGTCTGTTTTCTCATAAAATCTATTGTCGGGACGTGGCCCCTACTCTGGTGATTGAATTAATAAATGAAGAGCATTGCATTTTCCAAATTAGCGATAGTCGAACAAGCAAAGGTTTGACCTGGTCGGTAAGAGGAGCAGTATCAAGACGATGAGCAGTCGCCATTGCCACAGCAAAGTCAGGAGAACATAGATGTTCACCGAACTACAACATAAACAAAATTTCGTACACGATCAAGTCTTATGTGTGGAATATGTATATTTTGCAAATAATAATGGCGTACATTTTCCTCTTTTATGTGAGCACCAGTGTAGCGAGACTGGGCAATTGCCATGCTGTCAACAGTTGGCAACACATGTGGAAATAGTTCAGTGACAAAACGTACCTGAATTAAAACGATGGTAAAAAATACGAACGCATTTGTCACCAAATATCGGAGAAATGCTTGAACAAAAGTAGAAATACACAAATGTTGGGAAAAACGCACGAGGTGACATCTCGCTTTGGCAAAGTCGTCATAACGGACTTCCATTACGCTCAACAAATAGCGAATAGGGAGACGCATGTATACATCAATGGGATATATCTGAAAGTTGCGATAGAACCCTTAACTATATGATCAGGTATATGTAAAGCTGCACGCGGCCTCTACCCCTGTGCCTCTAACAGCATCGACTCTCGTCTTGTAGCAGAGCAGGTATAGCAGAACAAGAACTCGTAGAGAAAGTTTGGATTCATCGAGAAGATCACCAGAAAATACACTCTAAAATAATAAATACCTAGAAATGATACCAAAAAGTTCAGAATCCATGAATAATAATGCACCAACATTGATAAATTCATTTGAGAAGCCGGAGAGACTTTTCTGCGCTGATTCCACGGCAAAACGCAGCGTGAGTTCAGCCAACTGCGGATGCATCGGCAACGATAATTCTGAAAGTTGATTTTGCATCCAACTCTGAAAAGGGTAGGAGTATGAGATGGTTCAATATATCCACAAATTGTTCTTAGAGCCTAAAAAGCTTACACTGATATCAACATTGTGTTTCGTGAATGCGTTTGCTGACATTAACTCTGCCATTGCATGAATGGGTAACCTGTTTCCAGAAGAAGAAGAAAGAGATGGAGTTATCGGCAGAGTGGCACATCTTGAAATGCTGGTATTAAAAATTAATGGAGAGATTCCAAAATCGGATACCTTGCAGTAACATCCGCCTCAGAAAGGCACGAATTAATGAAAAGGGTTTTCCATTGTTCCATATGCCTTTGATGGATGGACACCTAAATTTGACCTTATTTCTGCTGCTTTTATTGCCAACTCAGCTGAACCTGATCAAAACAATTACGCTGTACCTTCTGCAGTCGGAGTATTTCGGCAAAGTACGAACAAATGGCCTCCGATCGTCCTCCAAGAATGCCCAGTCCAACATAAAGTAGATCTCTAGCAAGCGCCTTGCGCGTACCTCCTTCCGTCTCGTTACGCAACCACTCGAACCAAATGGAGATGTGCGGCTCCACCTGGTAGCTTAAAGCCACAGGGACGCTCATAGAGCTGCAACCACGATACGAATTTCCATACGAAATGTCACTTGAAACAAAGAAAGCTCACAAAGTAAGCGTAGGAGTTGCAATTAGCGCAGCAAGAGCTGCAATGAGATAGCCATCGCAAGAAATATAGCGTCGACAGATAAAATTGGTGATTGCAGTGAGATCCGAAGGTGGCAGTTTCAAGCCGCAGCGATGATATAGACAAATTATCGAGAACAGCACGTCTGTCATCGGCTCCTTTGATTGCCTTCAAAAGTCATGGTGAACGATTATTAAAAGGAGTGGGAAGAAGTCTGCATCCTTATTTACGATTTCAGTGCTCTTAGCATCATGGAGCGTGCCTAACTTGGACGCGTCGCTCTACATAATGTATTTACATATGTATCCAAATACATACAAGTAAATAAAAACAGCAATAGAAGCGTCAATCTGACTTACGTGTCTGCAGCAGAAGAGATCATTGCCAATAAACGATTTAGAACAACTGCTGCAGTATGCTTAGTAGCGCTCTTGCCAATCATCGCTGAGACGAGCCCTTTCCGGTCAAGCAAGTGAGTCTTCAGGAAATAACAAACCTAAAAACAAATGAGAAGAGTCATTGACAATAGAAGAGCTTTTATAAGCCGCATTGTAGGTAACTGAAAGCATAAACCATTGAGCGTTTTTCACTGCTTTACCGTACAGACTTGCTTAGATGAACCAACCGCATTATTTGGTCGTCGTTTTCTAATAACTGAAAGTAGTTCGAAGCTCCTGTTCTGTAGGAGTTTCGAACATTTTTCAGGCCCTCGAGGAGACGATTCCTGATCCAAAACGTGGACCAAGTAAAACAGTTTATAAATAACAAACCTGTACGACAGAGCAGTACAACACATTAAGTGATATGCCCAGATTTCAGATACCGAAGTTATGGTAGTGAGCTTTCGACTCAACGCAACTGGCAATGATAAGCAGAACAGGATGAGTTTCATTGAGTTCCTTGTTAATACCTCGATATTGTGAGAATTATTGTATTTCTCTCGTCCACTGAGCGAGGTTATCAAAAGGAATTTTCATTGAGTTGGCTCTTTGGTGGCTCGAAGAGATAGTGAGAGATACTTAAAGGAAGCCTACATTTGTTTGACTTCCCGAGAAATCCAGCCAGTAACCGCCCTGTTCCAGCGGTCACCACTATAACGCATGACGTGCTCGGCCCTCCTGATTTCCGATTTTTTGCCTAAAGACAACACTGATCTTCGTTCGTTGATGAAGCTCGAAATTCCCTTTTGCACTTGACTGTATGGAAAAATTTAGAGCATCTTTCTCTCTACAGCGTGTTGGATTACCCGAAGTGCATGCTCATCCTGCTTCTGTAAAGTTTCATTCTCCGAGAGAAGCAGCGTCAAAGCAAGGAGGAGTGTCGAAAAGGTGAGCCGGATGTTTTTTGTCTTCGTAACTACTCCATCGATATTGTTCACCATGTTGACTTCTCGATATAGATAAACATGCTAGAGCATTCGAAGTTGATCGTTCCATTAGGCGTTTAGCGGGTATCAATCCGTTCCTCATAAACATAGTCCCAAGTTCAGTCTTAAGTTGATTTTTATGCAAGCACTTTCATATCCGACCATCATTTGTTCCGCCTAATCATTATTCGGTGTTATAAGAACTGTGTCGTTTGTAAAACAGAGATGATAAGTAGCAGTCATCGACCTTACTACCTAATCTTTCATTTCGAAATCACGCGTAATGTTCCCGAGGGTGGCAGTGAGAAGTTTGGAAGAGATGGTATTGCCCTATTCAGCCCACTTTTTACGTTACTAATGACTTCCCTGTAGAAGTGCGAAATCGTGGTCGTGAAGTTGTCGTGGAGCTCAAGAAAGATCCTGCTTGCTTACATTCTGTCCTTCACCTAGTATTCTGCCAACACTGTTAAGCATGACATGTAAAAAGTTTGCAGATTACAGGCAACAGGCAGATTGGGCAGTAGTTGTCTGGATCTCCCTTCTTATAAGCAACACAGTTTTGCTAGTTTCCACGAAGTGGGAATTTGCATTCCGACATGTACAGCTCGAACAGCCTAGCCCGTACTCAGACAATTACAGGTGGAAGCCACTTTAATGTTCCGGCCTGATCATATTGAGAACGGACGCCGTACAACTCTTCTTCAATGTGATGGCATGTTGAAACTAAGATGGGAGAATTTAAGAACGACATATCATACATCTTGTTCAAGATGACAGGTAAGGAGATAGTCGTGGCTTTCGAAGAGATCTTAGTAGAAGTCGTCTATGACCTTCTCCATTGCTCATCGAGATGCAGTAAATGTCACGTTAGGACTAGTTGGCGAAGGTCCGGTGGGCGCCGGCGAAGTTCGCGAATGCCCTGCCCCATTTCGGCGGCTTTGACCAAACTGCTGCTCTTTTCTCTTGAAGATCTTCCCTTATCGCTTATCTGCATAGCTTCCCAAATTCGGACATAATTTTAGGATTGCCCGTAGTTCGCGCGATTCCATGCTGCCGCATTGCTAGAGAGTCCTGGAAGAAAAAGTCTCTTACAAGTTGCAGCTCTTTCCTTCTACTTTCCATGTATTCCTCAAGCGTAGCGGACACTTGCAGGTAGTCAATGTGAAGTTTAGGGCCAATTCGCGAGGGCCTGTGACACGTTTATGAAAAAGCGACCCTCGCCTTCATGGTACTCTCGTGAGTTCACCAACCCACCAACTGCGCCATATTTGCACTAGATGGTGGCCTCAGTTCGCTCATGTGTACAACGCATTGGTTTAACACAGGGAGAGAACGTTTTCGTAAATTTTTACGAAAATCGTTGAAGCGCATATTTGAGATCAGCGTTTGGTAATACTTCCGGTGGTATCCATCTCATCTAGAATGGCTACTGCGACCTAGGATCCTTCCCTTGTAATTTATTTTCAGAAACGAAACCCACTAGAAAAAAGAACTGGAGAGACAATAGCAAAACAACTCCCTAAATGGCTACTTTTCACTGCTCTGTGTTGCATAAGAGTGCGCGAAATTGAAAACAAAATCACAATGTGAAAGAAACATCAAAATACCTGAAACCACCGCAGGGACGAGGGCAGTGAATATACTCGACTTGTATATAGAAAAAAAAACTTACTGCTTCGTCGTCAAGCCGCTCACTGACGACCCTAGTAGCAAACATGCATTCCTTGCGCATCTCCGCCATTCGGTCAAGGATTGAGTGCGAAAGTAGAGGATTGAGCGTGACAAGCTAAAGAATGAATAACGCAGCAATACAAACGAAATATGGGGAACCCAAATAGGTTACATACGTTCGTAATGGTCGTTAGACGAGCTGCAGAAACGACTTGATCAGCTGGAGCCATGTCAAGCAAATGAGTTATCAGAGGCAGGTACATTTCGGACACATTCGCCACAACCTGCACCGAAAGTTTGATTGTCTGGGTGAAACGGTTGAGAAAAAATAACTAGATGGAAAAGAAAACGGTAAAGAGGCAAGTAACAATGGAAAAGGTTGCTAACCTGCGTTAGAAGATCAGATCCGTCTTTGACGCAAAGCAGTTTTGCGGCTAGCTCCTCAATGGAAATAATACTAGGCATATGAAGAAGTATCAATGATAACAACCATCCCAACTCTCCGATGTTTTCCTCGCATAAACAAGGCAGCAACCACTCCCCTGGACTCGAGGAATCTTCTAAAAATGAAAGAAACTCCTTTCGAAGAGGAAAACGTGTCTAGGAAAATATACAACATGAAAACCTTTGCATGAAAAGTGTGATATTATATTTAACCGTTCCACTAATGCTCCCCCCCCCCCTTCCCCCTCGACTTAATTCTGTGCTTCTGTGCCCTAGGCCTACTCGTGAGGCAGTACCGCGTCTTTTTTTACTTGGCACATTTCCGTTTTCACTTTCTGAATCGGAGGACGGAAAAGAACGCAGGAATGATTTTTCTGAAACTTTTGGAAGTTTAACCATGAGTATCATAGAAAAAGTTTCTCCCGAGAACGCTAGGTATATTAAAACACTGACGAGCGGTAGCTGTGTTAAAGTGACAAGTAGTCCACATACCGCTTCGAAGAGTTTGACATAATGTTGTGAGCTTCTGAGGCGGGTCAAGGTTGGCAAAACCATCACTGTCTCCTGCTTTGGGCGAAAAAACAATGTCGTTTTCAAGATTTGTATAATCCAAAGTGACATACGGCATGAGTCCACTCGTCATCGCAAGGGAGCAAATTTTCGAGAGAAATTCCTTCTGAATGAGTTCCAGTGAGACGAAAGATCAGATGAATGGTGTAAATGCTAAACATACTCACCGATGCGTTAGGAGAAGGATGTGTAAGACAACCTGCAAGAAGTGGGAGGAATGGAGAGAGTTCTTCATCGCTAAACTTTTCTCCAATTTCCATCAAAGAGCCATCAACCACTGCGCAATACACACCGGAATGGAGTTCCCATTTCATCGTCACTGTTTAGGCCCTGATCACATACAATCTGAGCAGCTTTTGCCGTGATATCTGAAATAATGCTAACATAAGTCTAGTAGAAACCTTGAAGTATGGGAAGGGTGGATTGCGAAGATAGCAAAAAGAATTTACAATACAGCGGCAATTGCTTGAAACACCACCACAGCCCCGTTCCGTCTCCTTGCCCGAAGCCTTTTTTGGATACCTCCTATGTGTGACCCAAATGGTAGGCCCTTGCTGTTGATACGTACAGAAACAAATTTCATTCGGGCACACGGTCCTCACAATATTCCAGCTGTGGATCCTAGTTCAAACGTGTGCTTGTGATTCAATGCACCCCCTAGCTATACCACCCAGCCCCGTGTTATATATCTCAGAGGAATGTAGTTTTTCAACTAAGCCTTAGGAGGGAAGGGGCGAACTAGTCAGTTTAATGTTCAATTCTTATGCCATTCCAGCTTTTCGCTCGAGGTGATCGTCTTACCCACCCTGGTGCTCCTCCCTTCTTAAGACTCCACTCCCTTCTTTGACCGCATAAGAGCTCACAAATGCCCAGTGCCCATCCTTCTTTTTGATCCATATGTGCGTGACCCCAATCCCAACCCCCCCTCCCCCCCCCCCCC